CCCATAGGTGCTCTATTCTGGTCAATTACATCGTATGCAAACCTGAAATCTATTTTCAGTACGTTGCTCTGTATACAGTTTTCTTTAAGCAAAAGTTTTTAAGTGAATCTTTTGCAAAGTTTTGGCCAGCAACAGCACTTCCTGTTGCAGGCCGATAATACTTAGCCACTTCCTCCCAATTAGCACCAGAGCTGTCGGCATGTCAAGGAAGTGCCTTCAGTTGGCCCTTAGCCTTCTTATCTAATAGACCAGTTAGGCAGCCCAGCAGCCAACTGAAGGAGCTCACAGGGCAGTTTGACAACATTGCTGCTAATTTGTTCCTGTTGCAGGCCAGCAATACTTAATCACTGCCTCTTAATTAGCAGCAGGATTGTCAACCTGCCCTGGGAGCTCTGGGCTGCTTATTAGATAAGCAGCCCAATGGCCAACTGAAGGTGCTCGCATGCGAGTCAGCGTCTTAGTGTTGCCAACCTGCAACAGGCAGTGCTGTTACTGGCTGGATCTCTGGGTAAGTAGCTTACAATTTGCTTGAAAAAAAAGTACAGTAACATATGATGCCAAATATACAAATAAATAGATTTTAGGTTTGCATGCACTTTAGTAGGCCAATCATGAAGCCCTGTCACTTGGGGCAGTGCACTATACTAATGTCAACCAACCCTTATGATTAAAAAAAAACTGGACCTGCTAACTACCGTGTCTTACATTCTTACATTGGTCAATAACTATGATAGCACATCGTTCTGACCAACAAAGCACTGAAATAGGCATATCTTCCATATCTTTCCAAAACACCTTCTGTATTTAGGCAATGGACACACACCCTATCACGCCCCCAGTATATCGGACCATTAAGAATTTACATGTCAAACATGATTGTTTACACAAATAATTATTTTTTTTCTCCATTATATTTCCTTTATACTTATTTTTCAAAAAACAAACAAGATTGATAAGCAATTAGATGAAGGTTTTATTACAGTATAACACTTTTGGAAGTTAAAAGGAACCTTTTCATAGATATCTGTACTTCAGACCAAAACGAGGGACAACTGAGGAGAGAAGAGGGACTTGGTTCCAATTGGGAGGTATGAATAGAACGGGCAGAAGGTCCCATTTAGATGCTCGCTTTCAATATCACCTACATCTTTAGTGTCACTTTAAGACTTCTCATACATTTGCAATGCTTTATATAACAGTATATATTGTTTTAAAATTGTTTTAAAATTTCAGATTTATTTGCTAGTCTATATTTTGATTTCAGAAATAAAATAAAAAAAACATTCCCATTTTATTGATTCTATGAGCATGTATACCATGTCAGGATAATACTTTTTTATGATTTATATGGCACCATCTCGCACCATCATCTCCATGTAGAAAGTGATCATTAACAGCACAAATAACAACAATGATGTGCAAAATGCAAACACATTTCATAGTCTAGAATCAGCAGAACAATGGCAGTGATGTTTACTGATTGGTTGCTTTTCATAGTTTGCATTGCCATGTTAAATAAGCCTCTACGTAGCTACAGGGTTGATTTTGTTGAAGGACAGTTGACCATTACGTTCATCACTTCTCAGAATTTCCAGCAGTTTTAGCCCAAAGAAAATCAAATCAAACACCTTTCCCAACCATATATAACAGAGATTCTAACCCCACAGTTCCCTTAACATGTATCCTCCAGATAAGAATATTAATATACTGTCTTTGGCATTCCATAGAGAATAATGGAATGCTAATGATAAAAAACATGTATATGGGACATAATGGGTCATTTTAGGTTTGCCAAGGTAGCATATACAGTATATATATATATGAGGGATGCACTGGTACCAGTGCCGATACTTGGCATTTTCATGAGATATATCAGCGTTGCAGAGGTTGCAGCTGGGACACGGCTCTGCTGCTCCACCACTGTCCTGAAATCATTAGTCTGTATTGTTTTAGAAAAACTGTCACATGACACTTAACAAAAATGTATCAGTACTTGGACTTGCAAAACTGGTATCTGTGCATCACTTTATTTATATTTAGAAAAACAAAATCATACATTAAAACAGAGATGTACAAATCCCAGGAGCTCCGTGTGCTCCTTACACATGACAGCTGCCTCCTAACTTTTGATTTTTTCTCTAGTCTAGTCCTGGAGCTGGAAAAGTATCTGTACTTGTACTTGTACCGAGTACGGTACTTGGTATCTGTGTATCCCTAATATGTATATAAATATTTCCATTCAGTTGAAGCTGATTCCTCCAGTGGGATAAGGATGACTCCCAACACATTTCCCAGATCATAGACCTGCTCCATCAGGAGACATGTTAAGTAATTATGTTTTACAAAATATCCAATCGATCATGCAATCATCCAGGGGCTCGCTCCCATTCAGAGGGAGACCCCGATTGGTATAAAAGGGGTACTGGGATGCCAATCTCATATAAGGTTTCAATAAGTCTGCTAAGCTTATATAATAATCACCAAAGTTCTTAATGTGCCAAGTTGGAGGCCAAGGCCAGTTATTATGTGAACTTTTAGCTCCTGATCGGCACCATATTGCCCCATATAATGGTAACCAGTCGAGCGCTTCAGAAATCCGCCGCCAGAAGGGGACAGCCTCCCCCCGCTATCACATTGTCTTTAGCAATTATAAACGTTTCTTCCAATGGACTTAACACAATTATCTTAATGTTGTTTTTTTAATCCCGTCATTGATTTTGCCATTAACACCACCTCTAAATGAGGCTTAAAGTAGATCACACCTTTAACTTAACAACATTTCGCTTGCTAAAGAGCTGTGCATCATAACCACTTGCCATGTTATTTTTTTTTTCTTTTCTTTCCCCATAAAATTCTATTTCACCCTTTTTTAATCATTTGTATCATATCAGTGCCGCTCATCTCTTGCAGCTTTTTCCAGCCACTTCCTGTCTACATGCGCATTCTTGATAGTGACAACGGTGGACCATGCCTGCCAATGGCACACCAGCTGTAGTCTTGAGCAGGAGGTCATGTGACAGGGTGACATTATAGATGCCTGCTTAGGAGACCCTATAACTAAAACTGCCTAAACAAAGTATATCACTTGTTTTTTTTTTTAAAGATGCAGATTAAAAAAAATCAACTTTTGAAATAACACGAACATGGTAAAGTTTACAGTCTTTTTAGATGAGGGGTGGCAATGTTGGAACATTAGCTGTGGTGAAGCTACAAATCCCCCCATGACTCTGCCTTTGGGAGTCATGCCTGCGGCTGTCAGTCTTGCAATGCCTTATAGGACAGCTGGAGTGCCCAGCTTTCCTACTATATAGCTTCTCTCTATCTCTGCAGCTGTCAATATGGTGTTTTTGAGGAGTTTGGGGTAGAGCACTGTAGCGCGGATAATCATTTGTTTTGCAGCTTTCCTACTACCTGATTTAGATCTCCTTTAACCATTCTGACCATAGAGAATCCTTTCCCACCCGAACCGTAAAACAAATTGATGTTGCCTTGCTCCCTATACAGTCTTTGGATAAAAAAAGGTAATTTGCAAAATCTTTATATCGACCTTGAATACCTTCATCCATATAAATCAGATTACCCCTAAGCCGTCCTTTATTTCAATGACATGTGTATGTCAGTTCAAGCAGCCAACGTACAGGAATCACCAGCACTCAGTGGAAAATATTCAAACGATAAAGTCCATTTAATCGGACAAATCATCATGCATGTTGCAATAATTATAACCGATGGTTTCGGGGCCACACAGGGACTCTTTATCAGGGCAACAATGTAACAATTGTTGCCCTGATGAAGGGTCCCTGCGTGGCCCCGAAACCATCAGTTATAATTATTGCAGCATGTATGATGAGTTGTCCGATTAAATTGACTTTATCGTTTGAATATTTTCCACTGTGTGCTGGTGATTCCTGTTCATTCGCTGTTTGATGTGCACGGTGCCATCCGTGAGTATCACTGCGAGCACCATCATTGTGACTCGGGCCGGAGACGCTGTGAGGAGTGCAGGGGGACATATTGGACTTTAATACAGTTCAAGCAGCCAGAGACCAGATCCATCGAACACCTGCAAACTCGTTGCCATGTATCAACACAAAAACGCTCACCCAAAAATAAAACGACAGGGCTCTCCATCCCACTCTTTTATCTTATTATTTTTATCTTATGTTTTCTTAAACAGAAAATCCCATGCTTCGCCTGGACCAATTTAGCGAAGACAAATCCCATGGACGGTGTTTGTTTTCAAACCACCATGACTACCGCCTCTGTTCCTGCGTCTTATCTCCATCCCAGCCTGACAAGCTGTGAAATGAGCAGCGACAAACACACAGCCGCA